TTGAGAATGAAGAATCCGCATGAGATTTTCACCTGGCTACAACACATAACCATCTTTTATCATCTATTTCCTTCACTCATTTCTCATTGTTTTCAAGGAAATCCAACACTTAATAGGCATTTTATCTGTAGATTTTATTGTGTCTTTAAAAGTTATTGGCTGTTGTGAAAGCAATCACAGGACTATCGTCAAACCAAAATTATTAGCAGTAGTTATTTAATATTGTGAAGCATTCAGTTACTTTTCAAATTTCAGTGGTTTCATAAATGTCATAATTTATTTTTAAATTTGTAACTAAGTAAAAACCATTGCACATTCCTGAATTAACATTACCTATTTTATTTTAATCTCAAATGCCTCTCCTATTTTTTTTTCCTTTAGAACTGAGTTTTTTAAACAAATGCAGTTAGTTTTCTTATAGAATTTCCCCATTTAGCCATTGTATTTTTGTGGTATTACTTTATATGTTTCTGTCTTCTCTCATCTCCTGTAAGTGTGGATATTCCGTATAGAACCTTGATCAGATTTAAATTTGTTTTTACTAGTGAGCCTACTACTTTGTAAGTCATTTTATGCTTTTATCTGTAATCACATGTCACTTGTGAAAGAACTATATTGTTAGCAGATCTCAGTGTCTAAATCAGTCAATGGATTAATGCTTTCAAAATTGTGATATCACAACATTATTCATTATTAACTTGAATACTTCTATAGTTGTCTTACCCTTTGATTAGCTAGTGTTAAATTCATATTAAAAAGGGTAGGTAAGGTAGGTAAAATTCTGGCTTACTATTTTCCCCAACAGTGACAATTGTTTTTATTTTTTCCATTATAAATTTAACAATTTAAGCATATTTTATGTTTCAAGGTATTGCAGTTACTCTATTGATGTGTTTTATGCTGACCACTGAGTCCTTTCTGATTCTAGTTGATAGTTCTTCGTAAGCTACTAAAACAGATGTTCCAGATCATCATGTATGTTTTTGTCCCAGAGATAGTTAGCAGAGTATTCATTAGTGATACACTAATGAATAATTAAGGCTCAGCACAGTAATCACATGATCATTCTCCATTTTTATACATCTGGAAAAGACAGTCAATAAAATATAATGTACTCTTGATTGACTGTACCTTCTAAAATATCCAGAGTCTGAGTACTTACCACTGCTCCTTTCCTAGTCCTGAGCCAACTTCCCCCTTTTCTGGAATACTCATTAACCTACCATCCACTTCCTGTTTCTGCCTGTCCCCTGCAGTCTAAATACAGAACAGTCCAAGTAATCTCATGCTAATGTCACACAAGTCATGGTGGTGTGTTTTTTAAAACTTTCCAGCAACATTTCAGCTTAGAGAAAACCTAATGTCTTTATAAGGACTTCAAGGCTCTTCTCACCTCATCTTCCATTTTCTCCGATTTACTCATACATGTCAGACAATCTTCAGGGCTTTGCACTTATTGTTCTTCTCATTTGAACCATTCCTTTCAAAGATTTGAAGATCTATTTCTTTATCTGTGGTTCTTTATTCAAATATCTTTTTCTAAATTACTTTCTCGGTTATCTTTTCTACTTAAATTTTATTAGAAAAGTAGTTTCCATTTTAAAATAAAAGATACTCTTTTCCATCCTTTTGGTATTCCCTATAATCCTAATCTGTTCCCCCAGCCCTGCCATAACATTTTCACCTTTTATCATACTACTTATTTCATTCATTTGTTTTATTGTCTCCTTTCCCAACTAGAATGTGACTTCCATGGGAACAGGGGTATGTCTACTTTGTTAAATGCTATCTCCCACCATGTAACTGCATGGTGAGTGCTTAATAAATATTGTTTGAATGAAAATGCATGTCAGAATAGGGAGTTAGGTGAGTAAAGTTCTCTTGTTGTTTTTTTTTAATCTGAAAGAATTTTAGCAAATGTGTTTATATTTGGTTAAAATTAGGGGGAGGTGCTTACTTTTCTATTTATTACCTGTTTCCTGCAAAAAAAAAATTTAAGATATATTTATTTGTGCATACAGAACTGGAGTACAGGCCAGAGGTGCAGGGGCAGTGAGAGGATTCAACAGAGACAGAGTGGGGAGCAAAATAGGCAAATCGACAAAGTACACTGCTGAGGGGAGCAGCAGGAGAGGCAAGAGAGGTCTGATGTGCCATGTGGTCACCTCCAGGGCAGGCAGGGTTCGAACTCTTAATGAAGTAGCTTTAGCTTCTTAGTGCTTTGCTTTAACCCACTGCACCACCAGGGAGGGCCCCTATCCTTCAAATTTTAAGCAACAAATAATTTTAATTTAAAACTAAGCATGTATAAAGAATATATTAGTGAGATTATCAGGATTTTTTTTGTTTTTTTAAAGGGTAGGATCTTTGTTTTCTGTAAAATAAAAAATGACAGTCAATAATTTATTGTAGCATTTGGTAATAAAATGGAATCACTTTGCTTCAGAATAAATTTTAAAATTAAAAGAGTTTATTTAAAAAACAAGACAGAAGAAATTACACATGCATATGCATGTGTGAGTGTTAGTTGCAAGTATAATATTCAATGTAGGAAAGTATAGGATTGATTAACTTAAATATAATGAATTATAGTTCATAAACGTATTTGAGAAGAGCATGTCTATTCGATTCAAAGTTTTTGTTGACACAGTTTGATTCCCATGTTAATGTTAAATTTAAATCTCATAAAGAAATGAAAATACACTCATTGTTTATTTTTATTAAGGAAGCTTTGGCTTACAGTGCCTTGTGTGATTCATAAGCATAGACTTACACCTCTTCAGATGCATGTCTCCACACCACAGCTACTATCAAGGCACCCACAGCCCTCCTCCATAGTCCACTGTGCCCCCTCCACATTGCCTTCCCTCCCCTATCCCTGACCTGTAGCCTCAGTTTCACAGGTAGATTTCTAAGGTTTGTTACTGGTGTGGTTTGGTTCGACCCTTTGTTTTGTTTTGCTATAATTCCACCTGTGAGTTTCACTATTTGATATTTGTCTTTTTCCCTCTGACTTATTTCATTTAGCATATCCCCTGTCTCACCATTTTTTTTTTCAGCAACAGTGAGTGTACTCTTTTCTTGTGCTTCATGAAGATAGGAAAGAAACCTTTTTTTTGATAATTTCTGATTTATTTGTGAACATGTTAAGAGTTCACACAACTCTTGCCCATTCCTTTTCTCCTGTATTCTTCCTCATTCAGCTTATAAAATTATATACCTCAATTAAACCCTTGAATATATATATATATTAATATAGTTTATTTTTACATCATTTTATGCATTTTTCCATTTCAGTTGTAATCCCTGTAGGTTTCCCATCACCATATCACCTGTGTGCCATCACCGTAGTCCAGTGCCTTTCCCTCTCCCCACTGTTTTTGATTCCATTCCCCACTCTACCCCCCTTAAATCTCTCTCTTCTAGGCCCTCCCTGGTGGCACAGCAGGTTAGGGCACAGCACTAGGAAGCTTAAGCCACTTCCGCATGAGTTCGAATCCCGCCTGCCCCGGAGGTGACCACATGGCGCGGCAGACCTCTCCTGACCCGCCCGCTGCTCCCCTCAGCAGTGTACTTTGTCGATCTGCCTGTTCTGTTCCCCACTCTGTCTCTGGTGAAGCCTCTCACCGCCCCTGAGCCTCTGGTCTGTACCCCAGTTCTGTATGCACAAATAAATAAATCTTTAAAAAAAAAAAGATTTATTTATTTATTCGTACAGAACTGGGGTACAGGGTAGAGATGTGGAGGGTGAGAGGAGTCACCAGAGACAGAGCAGGGAGCAGAACAGGCAGATCGACGAGGTACACTGCTGAGGGAAGCAGCGGGCGGGTCAGGAGAGGTCTGCCACGCCTTGTGGGTCACCTCTGGGGAGGGGATAGAACTCATGCGGAAGTGGCTTAAACTTCTTTGTGCTGTGCTTTAACCCACTGCGCCACCAGGGAGGGCCCTGTTTTAGACTTTTTAGGCAGAGGAAATTGACATCAGAATAGGAAGAAATTCCAATTTGTATTAACTGCATCTTGGTTACATCTTAATAATGATTTTTTAAAGATTATAAGGTAGCTAGTTATTTGGCAGGTATTCTAGAAATAACTTTGTCCAAATCTTATGTCAATATGTGTGTACTTGTGGGTTATCACTTAAATATCCACATTTAAAAATAAATGAATAACTTTTAAGTATTTTAGGAAAGGTGCTTTAATATTTTATTCCCTCTGGTATCTTCATATGGTCCTGATTTGGTTATAGCCTGAAAATTATTAAATTATTCTGTAAAATATCCAGAATATTCATATTATTAGCTATTCAAATAGCATGACATTTCATTGATTTTTTTTTTTTTGGACATAGATGCTTCTATTAGTCTACTTATCCTATTATTTAAAATTTATTTATATTCTTTTATAATACCAGTAAGTCAAAATCTTCCTTCACATATTTGTTTTCACTTGTTTTATTTAAAAATAAGGTTTAGTCAAAATAAGAGAAATTTAAAAAAATAACTTGTTTCTAAGTTTATAGGACATAAGAAAGTCTATGGTCCTTGGCTTTTCCCTACACAATTGCTCCTTTAGATATTTCTAAAAATATTTTTTCAATTTCTTAATATGTATTTTATGATAGTATTCATTGCAAAAAATTCATTACAGAATATCATCTGTATTTTATTTAGACACAATGTGATTTTTAAAAGCATATTTAATTTAGCAAGAAGTTATATTGTTTGGTTAATGAGGAAAACAAAGTTGAATATAATCTGATCATAATTTTATAAAAAATAACTAGTTTGTATTATATAATTTAGTATAATGAAAGGCAACTATAAATTGACTGACCACTGTAAACATTATTTTATTCATACTCAACATTATTTTTAGCTTACTTTTTGCAAAAGATTTTTTTTTAGAGAATACAATGATATTATTTACATTAATTCATGTGGCTTGGTGAAAAAAAATGCTATAACTCCTTTACTTAATGGGATTCTTCCCCTGTGGCAGTGCAAACGGCTGGAGCAGGAGCTTCATCATCTGAAAGAGCAGAACCAGACTTCAGCAAACAACATGAGACATCTGACTGCTGAAAACAATCAAGAACGTGCTCTGAAGGTAAATCTCCGTTCCTTCTTGCAGGCAAATTAAGGTTGTAAGCCCTTGGTGCCAGCTTTCTGTGCTGCATATATCAGTTGTGTACATTTCAGCAGAAGTGAGCTGTGGTGTTTGCCAACAACCCCTTCTTTAAACACAGATACAGCACCCTTCTGTTATGGTATTATTTTATTTCGTGTATGTGTACATGAAAACAACATATTTTCTGAGTTTTGAATGGTAGCATATTAATAAATGTTGGTACATGTTCATTCTGTTTCTGATTTAATAACATAACTGTCTTTTGTAGTTAATGAAAAGTGACCATAATGAAGGGGAAAAAAGATCATAAGCTTTTTCTTCACTTCAGTATTTATTACACTAATTTTTTTTTCATGACTTCCAATATCAGGAACCATTTAGGAACTAAAATTGTACTAAAATGTCACTTAGAAAAGAATATGTTGTAGAACTTGAAAGAAGTGGGAGGGTTCATTTTGTGATAAGAAGGTCTATTCATTGTAATGTAGATTCAAGATCATAAGAAATGGCAATATTTCTATTCTACTAGTTACATATTTTTTCTAAATGCTTTATAACTTTTCATTCTCCTTTTGTCGTTACTCCAGTTTCTAGCAGAGAGTTGTGTGACATAGTGCTTTTCCCTGCCCTCACGGTGCTTACCAGTGTCATTAGCAATGACATCGTCGTTGTTATTGTACAGAAAAAAATGATGTGCTACCATGAGGATTGTATTGCACTTTGTTGCCTTAACCTTAGTTTTTTCTGTATGCTAGCAGTGTAGTTCAGAAGGTCAGAATCATCTACTAAAGTTGTGAAAAACAGTAACATTTTGATGTGGAAAATATTTTTCATTTGCTCCAGGAGTGTAAGGTTTAGTTAAAGGTAGATTTTTCTGCAAAATGTACTGTACCTCATTTTGAAATATCCATTTAGTGATATATTATTATCACTTTGTTATCTTTTGGTTTCATATGTTTATGTTTAGTAGAATTAAATGTCAGCTGCTATTTATGGAAATAAATAGATGTACATATTTAAGTATTAAAATTAGAAATGAGAAGATGTAGATCAAGAGAAGCCTTCAAGTTAAAAAAAAAAAAAAAAAGAAATGAAATCAAGCCCCATAAAACAGAAAATCTCTGTAAATCATACACTAAATAAATAAGTATTTAGATAAAGTACATTTTTATTCCTGACAGGGTACTGTTAACATCTATTCTACTACGTTATCTTTATCTGCAAAAGTATTAGTTTTTCATTCATTTGATCCTCCATAACTTCATCCATTAAAAAAATCAACTTTCAATTTTATGTAGAAGCAGGGTAGATGCTTTTTAAAAACTCTCAATTCATTCTGTTAAAGCTAAGTTTCTAAAAATGTTTTAATTCATTGTTAAAGTTCATTTAATTTCTTTTTTAAATATCTATCTTGTATAATAGTGGTTTGAATCATGTTTAGTTATTTTATGCCACATTTCCTCATAAGAAATCTTAAAAATATATTATGGAAATTAGGTCATTCATAGTCTACTTTATTCTGAATCATTTGAAAAATACTCTTACCTTACAGGGTCTTTGTATTTACTTGCTGCTTTTATTGTTGCACTCGTTATTCATGTTGGCAGATAAAAATTGTTTGCCAAGCTTTCTGGTAAATCAATCAACTGCTTCCTTTCTGAGCTCTATACTTATCATTTACAATCCATTTATATTTATTTATTTATTAGCTGATTTAATATTAGTTAGTGCCTAAACATGAAATTTAGGAAAAATGTTATAAAGTCTTTGTTGTAAGTGCCTTTAATCTGCCTATATTTCTAACAGTAATAATTTTTATTACTACTAACAATGTTTTTATTTCTACTAACAATGTAGAGTTATATACCATCATTGCTGAAAAATTCATGTGTCATTTTATTGTGTTACACTTAAATCCTTTAAGGAACCAGTCTTACAGATACATTCGGGAAAAAATCGAAGTTAATGGTTATGCATTACATAGAACTTTCCAAACTTATGATTATGACAATTAGATGATTATCAAACAAGGAAATGCTTTTTAATATTCTAATGCTATTTGAATAATAATGACTTATTTATTTTAATAACCAGGACATTTCCTCTGTGAATTAATTTTTTATGACAGTATAATAAAATTGGATTTTTGGTGATTATTTTTAAGCATTTTTCTGAAGTAGCATGTAACTATACTAGATAATTAGCTAACATGACACTGTTTCCCACTCACATATTTGCAGTTTTCCCTAATAACGAGTAAAGCACAGTGGTCCACAAATTACAGTGCTGAATTTTAGCGGACCTTAGTCTATATCCTGAAAGTCATCCTTAAGAAGCAACTTATTTTCTCATTTAAAATAAATTTTATCCACTTATATTAAGAGGCTGATTTCTTAGAGATCATAGTTTTAAACATTTAGTATTGCATTTTTCCATTTCCTAGCCAGTGCTTACTTGTTTTTTTGTTTGTTTTTTTTTGTTTGTTTTGTTTTTCTTTCTTTGTCTTATTTGTAATGGATCATATGCTAAAAGGATATTTAATTTTATAAGAAACTGCCAAACTGTCTTAAGTGACTGTACAATTTTTTTCCACTCCCACTAATAAATAAAAATCTCAGTTGCTCCATATCATCCTTGCAAACTTTCAGTGTTTTTTTTTTTTGTAGGTTTGTATATTATAATTTCATCTATTCCTTCAACACTATCTGTTACTGATATCCTAATGGTGGATTTGTTTGCTTGTCCACTTGGATTTCTTAACGTCTACAATTTAAAACCAAATCCCTAATTTATCTTACCCCAAGTTTTCTCCCTGGGAAGAGATCAGGATCTGAGTCATTACTATTAACTCTATTTAGCGTTTATTCCCACTCAGATTCTCCTGTCTTCACCTTTGCTGTAGAAGTTAGGGAAGGTGTACATGCTCTTTGTCTTTCTGTTTGCCATTGAACATGAGAGGAATTCTATGGCATGGAGGGGAGAAAGAGGAGTGTGTCCGCAACTATTTTTGTTACTCTAATGTAGGACGGATACAGAAGGTACCATTTTTTGCCTTCTTATTACCTTGGACACTTAGCTTGTTTCCTGAAACAGTAGCAGCTATTTTACGGTCATGAAGTGAGCAATGAGGGGACTGTCCTTTACATCACCGAGACTTGTAGCAAGTGAGCCACCATGAGACTATTAAACATATAGACTCAGTTCTTTTCTGGTGACAGAATAATTCCCTGTATACATACATTTTTTTTTTTTCAAAATTGTTCTTACTGATTTGTTTAGTTTTTAGCCCCAGTTATGTTTACAAAGGGAAAAGCTGGTTTTCATTATTGTATTTGTTGATTGTACACCTGTTATTATATCCAAATCAAGAACTCATTAAAAATAAGCGACCGCAATTTCTTTATGCTGCTTCCTTTTGGACTTTCACACATTGTTGAACTCAATTAATATGGTGTTACTGTTTTTTTGTTTTTTCTTTACCAAAAATCAGTTTGAATTTATCCTAGTTGAAGTCAATGCATTTATTACATGCTAAGTTCAAGACATGGAATTATTGGATTATTATATTAATTACTTCCATAATCAGTCACTGCCCAACTAAAGCTTTCTAGAATGTCACTGCCCAACTGAAGCTTTCTGTTTTCACTAAAGTTTCTTGGTTCATGAATTGACCAATACAGTATTAAGAATTCTGTTTTTTTCTCTATTGGCTTAAAAATATTGAAGAGATTTCTGTTTGTTCATATTATCTTTACTGTTTAGATTCACTGCAGGGTAAGTTACTCTTAAGAGACTGAGTAAATAGCAAACTCTATTCAGTGCACTACATAGTAAATAATAGTACTACATAGTAAATAATATATATTGAGATGAATATAGTCATTGTTCTTTATTAGCCATGTTAATTTACTGTCTTTGACATGCCCAAATAATACTACCTTTCTACTGTCAGTGGAGTTTCTACTTTTCTAAATGGTAATTAGGGTAGTAGATTCTTAATTTAAAAATGCTGGATTTCCCATTTACTATTCGAAGAGCAATTGGAAGGTCAGTTAACCTCTTTTAAGTATTGACTCCCAGATTTTAAGTAGTGAAGGAAGAAATTTTGTTCCAATGGTTAAAATATATAGACAAATTTATAAAGTATAATACATTATCCACCTGTCTTATATGTTATGGTGACAAAATGAATATATGTTATCAGACATTGTGTCCTTGCTTTGCCATGAGTGGACTATGTGATACTTGTCAAATTATTTTATATCTCCAAAATGAGGTAATTGAATACCATTTAAACTAAAAAGTGTGATTTTACGAATGGGCAGTATTGTTTTAACCATTTGCTAAATTATGTGTACTTATGAGATGATCTGAATAAAGCCCTAGATTCTGAATTAAAGAATAAGAAGTCAATTTAAAACTTGTATGACTATCGGTAGGATGACTATATATTTTAAACCAAGACTTTAAAAAAATATATATTTTAGGGCCCTCCCTCGTGGCATAGTGGGTTAAAGCACAGCACTGAAAAGACAAAGCCACTTCAGCATGAGTTCAGTCCCTGCCCCAGAGGTGATCCACATGGCTGGCAGATCTCTCCTGACCTGCCCATTGCTCCCCTCAGCAGTGTACTTCCTCGATCTGCCTGTTCTGCTCCCCACTCCCCCATCTGTCTCTGGTGAATCCTCTCACCTGCCCCTACACCTCTGGCCTATACCCCAGTTCTGTATGCATAAAGATATAAGTCTTTAAAAAAAGATTTTATTTATTTATACATACAGATACAGCAGACTAGCATCATAGTGCTGAAACTTAACCCCTAGTACCACCAGTGAGGCCCCAAACCAAGATATTTTTACAGCAAAATGGATATGTTTATTATTTGCAGCAGGATGGCATGGTTGTGGCTATAAATGGGGCACCAGTGGATCCTTGTTTTGATGTTAACTGTTTTGTATCTTGATTCTGGTAATGGTGAT